TCCAAGAAGCTTTTTTGCTTTTTTTATCACGATAAACATGCATATTTTTTTTGGGGGGGGGTTTTGCCCCTGGTTTTTTTCTTGCACAGGGGAATTTTTTTTTTACGTGTTCTCAAAAAATTTTTTTTTGATTGAAATTGACTTTTCGAGCATGCTGCAAATATGCAGTCAAAGAGGCAGACAATAATAATTCCTTCCATTAATTATTAAATAATCAGTTACAATCATATAATCATGTTTCCTTTCATTGTTACATATTTCATTTTGTAATATAGAATCAACTTCAATCATTATACAGCTTTTGGTTATTATAATCTCTGTGCATTGCGTTATTCAGATGGAGAGTCCCTAATGCTCCGTTGTTATCTTTCTCCGTTACTCGATGGAAAGTCCAGCAGACAGAGGCCCTGGAGAGCACTACTTAACTCACCTGGAGGATGCTGTATTCCTCGTACACCAAAAGGAAAACGTAATAAAATGATGAAAACTGATGTTATCTGCCTTTAAAAAATATTTTTCTGTCCAAAACAAAAGTGTTTGTGAGAAATGACAAAGTCTCTCTGTATCGTGTCTGTTGACTGTGTTGTTCCTCTTTCTATCCACCTCAGATAGAGGAACATTCATCACGTGTCTTCCTGTTAGACGGCCATTATTGCTAAACCACATAGTTCATGTTAACTCAGTGAGTGCCTGTATAAGTCCTTGTGGGGCAATTTGTGGGGCAATTGATTTTGCCACAGTATCAACAACAGTAACACAGGGTGAGACATACAGATAGAAAGAAAAACCCACCAATGACTACACATATTTAAACACATAAAAACATAAAACATTAAAACATCATCATTGAAAACTTCCTTTTCAGAGGCACAAACCTTGGACAGACCCCGGCTCTAGGTGGGTAGTCCCGCCCTGAACACATCTATGTGACAATATTTATATATAGTGATAGGGCCAAACACTGCCAACAGGAAGTAAGCACTGTGTGGCGATTTTGATCTGATTTATGTGAAATTGTCATGTTTTGGTCCGCACGTTTTATGACTACACGTTAGTATAAACAATCACTGCAGAGCCCTGATATGTAGTGATTGAGACCCTGACCCACCAAACATCCTGGAAAGTGACAAAGTTACGTTTTTCACTCTAAATTACATAATTATACATAATCGCCAGCAGTAAACTGGATGCTGTCTGACTCCCTCACTTGCAAGATGGAGAATGTTTTCCGGTGGAAAGTAAACTGATGTCTCGGTCTGGAGGGCTGGCGGTCGCAGTGATTTTTGATCGCATACACTCCGTGAGTTTTTCGCTGGTGACAGACGCTGTTTTTTGGGCAGAAATGTGACGAAGAGTCGGTAGGACAGGCGGAAGGACAGACAAGAGGACAGACAGGAGGACAGACGCTTCTCCACGTACAGCTGTGGTATTTATTTTCCTCTTGTAAGTTTCCAAAGACAGTTACAGTTACTACTGTTGTTTGGTCCTGTAATGTTGCTTTGTGGGACATTTCTCTTTATTAAGTTGAGTGAGAAACCTGTGCAGTTATCAGACTGTCTGACCGACACACCCTCGCTCTGCGCCGTCGGCTTAAGCGTCCGGTATACTCGACGCAGACCAACTGTCGCGCGACAACATGACGTCACCGTGCACTTCCAAATTTTCCAGCATATGTCCTCCTCTTTTCCAACATTCATGGCGATTTCTCGCAACTCTGAGCATCTCTGTGCTCCTTTATTGAATGATCGTACAGATTGTCCATCTTCCTGTTTCCTGTTTGTCGCGCGCAGCTGAAAAAAAAAGAGTGGTGCGCGACCGGGCCAAAATCCTGGTGCGCCAGCGAGATCTACGTCATTATGACGTCACGTTGTCACGTGACAGGTCGAATGCGGCGAGTATACCGGGCGCTTTATCCATTCACACTAGTTTGGTAGTTTCAAAACAATTTTTTGATGTGGAAACCCTTACTGCCATTGCTCTCTCTCTCTCTCTCTCTCTCTCTCTCTCTCTCTCTGATGTATGCTAGCCTATATTACAGGGCTAAATAATATGTCCGGCCCAGTTAGGCTATGCTACAAGTTAGTCTGTTTATGCTGCCAGGTTTCATCCCATTTCAGATGTAGTTTACTTTGTTCTTTCAGAATTTATATGCGCTGACCATGAGGTGTGGTACTTTCACATTAGTGGAATGGGGTTCATCTCCCTACAGTGTCCTTGCTAAAAGCCAAATTATATGAAAACACAATAGTTATCAATCTACACATTTCACAACAAACCTAAATGTCCCTGACGTCCCACCTTCAAACACAACCACATTTGGCCATCCATGAAAAAGCTACTTAACCTCTCACTTTCTATAGCAATACATACTTCCTACGGGCAGTGCACTAGTACAATATAACATACAAGATAATCCACAGAGGTCACCTCTTGTCATTATATATTTACAGCAATATAAGTAAAACAAACACTACCACCATGAATCTCTTTCCTTTGTCCATTGTGTCCAACAGTAGTTACAGTAGAGCTCTGAGTACATCGTTACCTTAAGTTATTTTAAGCCATTTCTCTTTTGAATTAAGTCAATGTAAATATGGATTAGTAACCAGGTTACAATGGAGGCCTATGTAAATAAAATAAATAAATAAATCTGATACTCTGCATCACCTGATATCTCCAAGTAACATGGGTTTTTTTTATATTATTACATTACAACACCACAATATGGTCACTAAATCATTTATAACAAAAATTAGAAGCCCTTTCAATTAAAAAATACATATTGTAGTTATTTGCCATTTGGACACAGCCAACTAAAGACATTCATGATTAAAAGTTATGCTATTTACGTTATCCCGTCGAACAGCGTCACAGCTTTTGTTAAATTCAATATTTAGGGCGTGTCCGTGGGATTGAAGTTGGCCATTTTGAATTTTTCAAACAATGTGCCCGAGGCGACGTTCGAGGATTCGCCACAAAGTAGGCTCGACTTCAGTGTGCAATGTCCAATCTCCAATAAACTTCACATATTCTGTAACAGTCCCACCCTGAACACGTCCTCATAATGTCAGCATATGTGGTCCAATCTCAATGAAACTTCACGTGTTTGATGAAAGTCCCGCCCTGAACACATCTACATTACAATATTCAGATATAGTGATAGCGCCACCTACTGGCAACAGGAAGTATGCGCTGCGTGATGATTTTGATCTGATTTACGTGAAAAACGCGTTCGATCACCCATGCTTGCAGCTTTAATATTCACATTGTAACTTCCCAAATTATTGATATGCAATTCTTGGTGTTGTTGCTTGTTTTATTTTCTTTTATTCTCGTATTTTAACTGTGTTTTGTTTGGTTACTTATGTTTATACTTTGTTTGTTTGCTTTTATCTCACTTATTTTGTCACAGCACTTTGTAACCCAGTAAAAGTACTGATTCAACTTCTTTTACACAAGTCAAAGAAAAGAAAGTGCAGGTTCTGAAATGGACTCATAGTAATAACAGAAAAAAGTTCAGTTTTTTGTGCAAAGCTGAAACTTTAAATAGGATCTGTAAGTTGTCTGTTTCGTCTTGTTACGTTGTTTTGTTACTTTGGTCATGTGTGATTTGCAGCAGTCTTGATGTTGGGAAGGTGTGCAATGATGCAAAATAATAATAATAATAATAATAATAATAATAATTGATAAATCCCCTTAAAGTAAGTAACTTACTAGAAACTAAGGTAACAAGACAGTTTTTAAAATGTAAGGGGTAGAAGCACAGATATTTGTGCGAAAAATGTCAGAAAAATAAACTCAAAGTACAGATACGTGAAAAACCACTTAATTATTCCTTAATATTGTATTACTTACTTTACTTCATAATTTCCTACCTATGGCACATTACCCCTTACTCCGACTATCTAGTCAAATGGTGACAAATAAATACATAAATAAATTAAGAACAAAAAAGAAAAAAGAAGAAAACACATACGGGTGGAGACAGGCAGAATATAAATCAGTATGCATATTAAGGTTGATTTTGCACAGATTAGATCAAATTAAAGCAGCAGAGCTCGTGAATTAAACACTTAAGTCTTATCAAGAGATGTCTTAAAAGGTTTCCAAACCTTCAGGATGTAATTGTGTGAATCTGTTCCATCAAAGTAATAGAAAACATTTAATCTCCTAAAACATGGGGACGAGGGAGACTTCCGGTTTAGTAATATTAATCTTTAGCTGCATCCACTATATTAGAGACATGAAACTTTTACACCGAGACAATGAAGTAAAAATCTATATTAAAATAAATTAATATTATCTGACGCTACCAACTGTCTTAGATGTGATGGTTATTGGGGCTCGTCAGCTCAAGTCAGGATTTAAATCACATGATTTGGTGGTCATTAGAAACATCATCATCAGCTGTTAGGCTTGGCAACAATGTATACACCGTCCATCATCAATAAATATACATTTATTACATTAAATTATGTTCTACTCAGTGTGATTGAGGAGAGATAATCAGAGGGGCAGAGTTTTACCAGCATCATTATTTCCAGGACCAAAGTTTGGGAAGAGGTTCTCAGTGAAGGAGTAGATAAGAGCTGCAGCATCAGTGTCATAAAAGGAGACCAGACCCTCCTCATAATCCACAAACAGCCCCACATTCTCAGGCTGAGACTTCAGAGAGAGACAGACTGAAGGGTCAGCTTGACTGATATTTCTTTTCTCTTACTCTTTGAGACTTGTCTTGACTGCAGCTCTGCTGTCGCTTAGACAAGCTTACACTATCATTTCCAGGAAATGTGTCACTGAAGCTCTTTCAGTGTTGCTCCTCCTCTCAGTGCAGCTCTGTGAGTGAGCTGTTATTGACTGATTGGGAAATACCTTTGGAACAAGATGAGTTTTTTCTTTGATTTTTTTGTTATTTTTACTGTGCATATTGTAGCATCTCATACTGGACACAAAGTCAGAGCTGAGTTGGATTTATTTTATTTTTTCTACAACATAACAATGAAAGGAGAACACTAACACAGTCCACCACTAGCAAAAATTATACAGTCAAGAGTTCAACATTTGGGGAATTCACAGGGGTCAGCACAGCAGGATGAGCAACAAATGCATCTCATGCTGGGTGAACCATTTTCTTGATCGTGGCATCCCACCTGCCAGGTAAGTAAGAGTTGAATGTGTCAGAAACTGGGGTGTCATTCCCAGACACAGCCCCCTGGTGGTCGGTGCCTGCCACGAATAATCCCAGGGTTCGTGGCCTTTAAGTATTAGCCCGCCTCAATCACTTGGAAAGCTGGTTGTTTCTGTCTCGGAGGAAGTCGGCACAGCCAAGCAGCCACACAAAAGCCTGCAACCCAAGTCTGCTAGCAGTGGAAGAATATCTGGAGCACATTTCTTACATAGAGGAAATGACAATATCAGAGAGGAGGACATACAATTCATTCTGTCCCATCTAAAAGGCCATGTCTACTTGTTGCTGCCTTCGGGGCTAAACCGAACCCTGCTGCACAGCAACACTGCCACTTTCTGTACAAACAGGACCTCCATGAACCAAACACACACACCATCCAAAACCAGATGTCCCAGAACCTCCAAACTGTGTTCAAACTTTAACAAATAGACTCAAAGAATCAATAATAACATATCTGCTGTCAACTGAAGAGTCCCAGGATGAAAACATCAATACTGAAGAAGGGTTTGATACAGAAAGACATACAGGATGACAAGATAAACAGATGAATTAGAGCCCAGAGGTGTTTCAGTTGGACGCCGAATTCATCTTCCCGTCTCTAAACCTCCGATTTAACAGAAAAACTTTTGACGTGTTGTATTAATCTGCAGTCAGACTCTAATATACAGCATACTGTCAATGTTCAGACTACAACGGCGCCCTTCTCCCATACACTGCTCATAGGCTGACACCTGCTGGTGACTTTATGGAACTGCATGGAGGTGACACACACAGAGGTGACACGGTCTTCTTTCTAAATTGTAATATTGACTCACAACCCATTAACGCTGCTATGAAACTTATGTGTCTTGTTGGCAAATATCATATCCATAAGGCTGGAACGCTTCAAACCTAATGTTCATCTGTATTTTGTTGAATTATAATTTGTCTTTGACTTTGATTAACAAACAAGAAAGCCATAAGACCTCTCAAATATTTGGATAATTACTATGTAAAAGTAAACAATAACTTCTATACATACATACTGTATATGTGAGTTTATAATTCACTCCTACAATGTGATGTCATTCAGAAACTTTTTATTTTATATGTGTAACAGGTGTGTGGATTGGGCATAAACAGAGGACGACTCACAGAACTGTTAACCAGCATTTATTTGCTCCTGCAGAAGACAATATAGCACATTCATTTCCTTCTGCTCTTTTTTTCCTGCACCTCTGCTTCCTCAGCAATGCAAAACAACACTGTGTGATTTCATTATCTTTCTGAAAATACATATAGATAAATTAATTTAAACATTACAGGGTATATGTAACTCAATGTGCATATTACAAAAACAAAAAAAATACTAAAAGAGCTGTTACAGTTTACCAGAAAACATTTAATTTAATAACAAATCTATATAAACTATATAGAATAGGTTAAACAGAGTAAAAAGTGTGTGTGGGGTGGGTGACTAAACAGAAACAACACAAACGAAGGAGCTACGGAAGTTCGGGAGCTACGGAAGGACAAAGTTCAGAAAACTCAATTTCCACTGGAAATAAACCAAAATAACAGAAAATGAAAAATAACTCAATGAGATAAAATTCAGACTCAATGAAAATGAATCAAATTCACAAATACATATTAAAAGTAAGTGTAACCAAGGTTAAAAATCTATATTAAAAAGAGCTATATTAAAAAGTAAATTCATGAAGTACGTTATTAATGTTAAAGATTAAAAACTGATATTTGTCTAAAAAGCAATTCAACTGAGATAAAGAGAAAATAAATAGGAAGTTTATTTTGAAGGAGATGGGTTGGAGACGCGCTGTCAGCCAATCAGGAAGAAGCTCGGACTGTTGACCTGCACGGAGCAGAGTTCACGTCACCTTGAGCTCCTGGAAGAACAGAGAGGAAACCCCGCGTCGACAACGATTCCTACCTCGTGAAGATAAAGCGATAAAAGTTGTTGAAAACTGATTAAAAACTGATTGAAATAATCCAGTGTGGAGCCCTGGACCTGTGAGAGTGCAGTCGGAGAGACCTGACGTCTCCCTCACGAAGGAAACGCATCGGTGAGCGATCGTCTTTACCATGCTAAGCGCTAGCTGAAGATGCTAACTAGCACAATGGCAGACGCCATTCACTAATGCTACAACCATTAGCTTGATATTTTAATGCTGCAAACTGAATCCAATGCTGTGTAATATGTTGGTTTGTATAATTGTTACACACTGAACTGTGTAATGTGTTGATTTAGCACTTTTATCTGTGCATTTTAAGCACATTAAGCCATATTTTAATTATCTTTGGATGTTACATTTTATTTGAGATGTAAACGTCCCATCACATGACCGAGGGTCCAACATGTGTCTGCTTACTGGTATCTAGGACCACGTTCAGACTGCAGGCAAAAGTGGCCCAGATCGGATCTTTTGGGGTCAAGACTTCAGACCAGGTCAGACTTCTTCAGAAGTAGTGTGAACACTCAAATCAGATTTAGACCACTTCCATATGTGGTCCTGAATCTGATCCAGGTCTGATTGTTTTCAATGCGGCCGCAGTGTGAACAACCAAGCTGGATTTGATGCGACTTTTACGTCAATCTACATCGACATTTGTCACAGTGATGCGCCGGCGAGTTCGCCCTCGACACAGACGGTAAAATTAAAAACTTGACTAGGCCTACAAAATGGAGAACAGTGATGGAGCAAGTCAATGGAGGGAGAGTGAGGTGTTAGACCTAATTAGTATTTGGGGAGATACTTCAATTCAAGCAAAACTAGAAGGATCGTACCGTAACCGCTCCGTTTTTGAAGAAATAGCAAAGGAAATGTAAGAACAGGGACACAGGAGAACGTGGCTGCAGTGCCAAAGGAAGGTGAAGAGCCTTAAAGCTAAATTTAAAGAAACAAATGAGTCCAATAACCGAAGCGGTCGCGGTCGCATCACCTGCCCATTTTATAACGAGCTTAGCCGTGTTATGGGCGATAAACCCAGCTGTCAGCCGTTGGAGCTGCTGGATAGCTACGAAGCAGGCGAAGAGGAGCCTGAAACTCCGAGGAGGTCGGCGGACAGCCTGGATATTGATGGCGAGACAGGTAAGTTTTCAGTCTTGACATTCACAGCCGACGCATATAGAAAGTCTTGAGTGGAAACGCACTTTAATATAAAATAAAAGTTAGAAATATTGCAAAGAAGTTTTACATTTGGAGACTAGAAAGTTGGCGTGTTTATTAGAGGAAAATTCTGTTAACAGAATAAACGAGCCAGTCAGCTGCTCCCAGTTTTCTTTGCACAACTCGGAAACCCATCAGAGAAGCAGAGACTACCCTGTACGTGTCTGTCATTCAAAAATGTACAGTCTATCTATGATCTGATCCAGTGCACTGGTGACCTGGATCTGAAGAACCAAATCCCATATTATAACCTAACATATAAGTTAAGAGGGGGGCTACCAGGTGACCCTCATCTTCTCAGGGTAACGTGTGTGTGTTGAGGGTGTTATGTAAACCACCTTTCTACCAGGCACCAGTCCAGCCCTCACAGTACAACCCAAGACAACTTGCCGCCTCAGCCGACCTTTTACAACTTTACTCAGCCCCCTAAATTTAGCATGGGTTCACCTCAGCCTCCACCATGTAACGAGACAACCAACCAGCCTCTATCTTTCCTGCAAGATCTGGCTCAACTTCTACCTTTCAACCATCCCCCTGCACATCCTCCAGATCTACCTCAGCCCTTCAGCCAGGACTCAGGACATCCACCATTCTACCGACCTCCAGGTGATGAGGAAAAGTAAATCAGATCACGATATTGTGACTTGCTTTCAGTATTGTTGCATCTATGCAAAGTGTATCCATCATTATAAAGGTTAATTACAGTTCAGATTATATTTGACAGTTTGATTTCAGGTTACAGTTTTAACGTTATATAGTTTTATTAAACCGACAGAGACTTGCACTATAGCAGAATAATTTTATTTTGAACATGAACATTTATCAACATATTTATTCAAAGTAGAACATATAAATGAGCAGGTTTTCTCATTTTTTGGCAGAGAAAAGTCCTTGTGTGGAAAATTTGATGAGAATTTTTATATGGATTTGTTGTTTACATAAACCTGCACAACTGAGAATTTTACAGGGATGCATTTCATTTTTATTTAATTTTTCCAGAACATCCTGTTGTCCTGAAGAGTAGATTGACCAGGTCCCTCATAGGCCTCACCATGCTTCTCGCACACATTGTGGAGAGTGCAGCATGCACTTATGATGGTAGGGACAGTGGAGATGTCCACATCCAGCCGTTTCCCCAGGCATCTCCACCGCCCCTTCAATCGGCCGAATGCACATTCCACTGTCACCCTGGCTTTGCTGTGTCGCTCGTTAAAGTACCTTTGCTGCTCTGTCAGGTTCCCTGTGTCAGTGTACCCTTTAAGCAGCCAGATCCACATGGGTTACGCCGGGTCACCAAGCAGCACACAGAGGACTTGGCAATGCCAAACAGGTTACCCAGCGTGCGGTAACCTGTCCCTGTTGCCAGCCAATACAGCCCAACTCCTACACGTTTCCACACGGAGATGGTCGCCTAAATTGAGCGTCCTGCTGTAGGAGTCTTGAGGAGAGGCACTGACAGATATAATCAAAAGATGCCCTCGACATCCGAAAGTTTTCAAAAAACTGCGTCTCTGTGAAGCTAAAGTGCATTTTTAACTCTGATACACATTGTTCCTATGTTTTTATGTTGATGAGAGCAAGGGGATGAAAGTTTCATGAGTTTTGAACTGCAATTGTTTACATAGTATAAAAAATATGAAAAAGCTGAATGAACTTTGAACGTTTGAATGAACTTTCTACTTTGAAACATTTAGAAGAAGGTGCCAAAATAATCTGTCTCCTCCCATACACTGCTCATAGGCTGACACCTGCTGGTGACTTTATGGAACTGCAGCTGACAGTTGGAGAGAAAATAAAGGCAGAAAATAGAAAG